CCCTCTACCCACATAGAAGAAGTGTCCAACCCAGATTACCGTCTAAAATGACGGGTATTGTTCAAACTCCCATACCATGCTGCCAGAATACCCCACCAGAGGACGTCGTATACCGAAAGAGAAGAAATGAAGAAAAATAACTATGACCTCCCAATGCAGATGAAATATGCTTGTCCCCCAAAAACGCCGTGCGATGCTTTGCTTGTACGGTTGCTCACTCCATCGAGGGCAACAAAAATCGGACCTTCTTCTTTGGCTTTGCAGCCTGTTCATCTCTGGCCCCTATCTTGTCCGTCACATCCTCGTTGTCGTTCATGTCCTCCTCCATGTCGCTTACGGCGCCGACACTGCCGCCCAGCTCGCTCATGAGCTCCTCTTCCGTCTCCTCCTCGATGGACCAGACGTCCGGGCTCGGCTCGCGCCAGACGTGCTGCTGCCGGTAATGACGGTACGACGTGGTCCTCTGGCGGCCCCGCCCGCCGGGACGCACCGGAGCCCGGCCCCGGGTGGGCGGGAACGATGATGGCGAGAGCAGCATGTCCGAAGGCTGCTTGGAGGAGCGGGACTGGGACTGGGACTTGGACTTGAGGCCGTCGATTGCAAAGTCGCGCAGGCTAAAGGGGATCGTGAAGTCCTGCGGCGCGAGCCGGATGTAATCTTCCTCCTCCTCGTCCGTGTCTGGCGTGGCGAGGTCCGAGAGATCGGGTACCGGGGGTGACTTCCGGCCCTTGGACTTGTCCAACCCGTCCAAGCTTGACGGACTCACGCTGCGGACGATCTCGCGCGGGCTGTTGTCCTCGATACCGGCGTCAAAATCCATCATTGTGACGTCTTCATCGTCTTCCAGGTCGGGCGCGGGTGTCAAGAAATAGGTCAAGGGGTCCTCGTCAATATCGTCGAGAGATGGATAGTCCTTTGGAATCGTTGGGGCGAGGCGCACCAGGGTAGGTGGCCATGAGTCCCGCCGCGAGGGTGTCTTTGGTGTTTGAGGCATCGTGCCGTTATTTTGAAAAATGGGTAGTTTCGGAAGGCGTCTGAACAGCAATCACTGGCAAGACGTGTCAGGTCCTCGCCGGCCTGGCCGGCTCAAAAGTAAACCAAAAGAAAGAGGCAAGGAACAAGGGGACGTCTCTGATTTCAGCACTGATACGATGCTGTAAAACGCGACAGACGTGGGTGAAGACGGATGGAAGACGAGGCGGTGTACTCGTACTTATATATTCGTATCGCAGCCTCAGCAGGCAGAGAGGTTGAAGGCGGATGTTATCCGACACTGCCTTCACCTACCCACACACACACATACACACGCAAGCAAGCACGCACACTGACAAGGTTGCGGGCTGGCTGATGATTCGGCTCAGTCACATCAACCAGCCAAGCGCTGCCTTGTATGGCTGGAAGATGGTGGTCACCAGTGCTAGTTGCCCAGTGCTGAGGTCTCAACATCGCGGGGCATCCAGCCACCATCAACCCCCACGTGGAGGAGGCCTATGAGAGCGTGACTCCTCACCCGCCAGAAGTGTCTGAAAGAGCTGCTGAAAGAGCTGTGCAGGTCTCCAAATGGCCGTGGTGTTGCCAGAAGCGGAGATTCGCATCCGAAAGTGGTGGTAAGCTGAGGTCCGGGCTGGGATTCGTATTGAATCTGTCATATTTCCTGGCAGACAGCAGGAAATCCCGTCTTTTGGTTGCTTCGCGTTCCTCCGTGTGGGTGTCGTCCGGCGCGCGACTACCGCGGCTTATATGAATAAGCTGAGACAGACTGGCACCCACTACACGTACCGATTGGAGGCCGAGTCAGGCAGATGACTACCTTGCCCGCCATAGCGCCAACCGAACGTGCCGACTCCCCCAGTTTGCAAAACCATTATCGCTTGACTGGTGCGCATTTTCGAGGCCATAAACCAGCGAGCAAGGATTGTGCAAGACAACTGCTCTCGCTAGAGTGGGCAAGGGACAAGTTTTGATTGCCCTCCTACGCTTGCTGGAGCGGCTGGTGTACCTTGCATGACGCCTCGAAGTGGCGCATTTGAGTCAGGTCGACAGACCGGCCTCACACCGCGCCGCAGATTGGACAATAGGCAGTCAACTCAAACTCCAATAATTCCTCGGTGAGTTGCGAGCCTTGCTTCTCGCCGCTCGCTTCGGCGAGTGACCCATCCGAATCCTGCACCACTCTCAGCCTCAAAATTAGAGATCGTCACGGTGCATGAACCGCTGCGAGATAGACGTGCAGCACACTCGTTTTCGATTATGAGGCTCCTGGTCTTCCTAGAGTCCTCCGAGAAACCCCCGAGAGCTCGCGACATATGAAGCAGTCGAGCAAGGCCCCCCGTATTGACGTGGACATGTCGATAGTTCGTCCTAATAGCTCTGATTTATCTGCAAGGTTTTGTCTTGAGTTGAGGAAGTCAGCTGCTTTCTCAGCTGTGTACACATTGCGTCATGACTTGGATTTGACAAGGGCGGACGATCGTCCACTTGCACTATAGCCGCTGCCATCCCATGAGGCCTGAATCACGTCTCGTAAATGAAGTCGGGCAGCGGGCCGTGACAAGAACGTGACTGGTTTGTGGGTCGCCGTGCCGGTATCAGCCCGCCGCGCAAACACGCTTACTGGGAAGCCGGCTTTTTGGGGAAGGCTGGAGGGATCGGGTGACACTAGGTTTCCCTGATTATCCATTGATAGTGAGTAATCGACCCGGGAGGCAGTGAGACTATTGTCTGCCCCAGCTTACCTTACCTGCCATTCCCACGTAAGAACGCCATCCGAAGTCTCGGGACGTCGAGATGGAGGGAGGGCTGGTCGCGCATCCAACGAGAATGCGGAGATAAGACTTGGGAGCGGACGACGGCCTCCGAGCTATGAACTACTACGAGGGTGGACGTTTCCAAGGAATTCCATTAGAGACTGGCGCCGGTGACTAGCGGTGAAGGCATCAGCAGGAATGCTAGGCGCCAATGCGATATTTGACAGACTTGAAGTCAACATGCCGATTTTCCAGGATCCGCGGCGTAGTTTGGCTCATGTTCGAGGCTGACTCACTAACATAATCGTGGTGGTGGTATAGGCACTGAAATCGAACTGGGATGGCTGCTCAGTTTGGAATCCAGTTCCAAGACGATGCGGGGGAGGCGGAAATAGCAGACCCCGGATCGCCAAAGAATGCAGGAGCTTGGGCCACCGAGCGTTGCTGGATCCTCCCCGCCATGTTCCAGGATCCAGCACGTGACCCACTTGGCAGTTGGGGCAGGAGGATGCCTGCTCTTTCCATCTCAAATAAAGCGAGCTTCAGCTTTGTTCCAACGTCAAAGGTTCAGTTCATCCAACGACACCTCATCAATTCGAGGTATGACTGAGCCAGGCCCATCGGATCTTCTCAACCCACAATTTCTGTTGCTGTCCGCGCCCATAATCTTCCCCTGGGCATTCTTTCTGATCCGTCAACCTAGTCTCCGCAGCTAAGGCGCACGGCCCCGGCCTACTGTCAGGCTACCCGCTGACGAAGTCTGTCTGGACAACACATCTCAATTCTCGACTCATTGTTCATCACGAAGTGACGTAGTGACAATGCTTGTCAAGCTCGACAACTCAAAGGCTGCAGCAGCAAGTTCCATGTCGCTCCGCCTGGTGAGCCAGAACATTCGGTATGCTACAGAGAAGCCCACCCCCAACGAGAGACCGTGGAGCTTTCGGGGTCCGAAGCTCTGCAACCAGTTGGACTTCATCACGGCTGGCCACGAGTCAGCAATCATCTGCCTGCAAGAAGCTCTCTACTCGCAACTCGAAGATATCCAGTCTTGCCTCGGTCCTGCGTGGGGTCATGTGGGCGTCGGTCGTGATGATGGGAAGCGAGGTGGCGAGTTTTCACCAGTGTTTTACCAGGTTGAGCGCTGGCAGTGCGAGAGGAACGAAACTCTGTGGTTGAGCAAAACGCCGGGTAAGCCATCTAGGGGATGGGATGCGGCACTGAACCGCGTTGTCACCGTCGGGGAGTTTCTCGACAAACAAACCGACACGCGAGTAGTTGTCATGAGTACGCATTTCGATCACCGAGGCGTTTTGGCTCGAGAGGAGAGCGCCAAGCTGCTTCTCGACGTTGCCCAAGAGTGGAGCAAGGGCGCAAACGGTAAACCTCCGACGGCTGTCCTTCTCGCGGGTGACTTCAACAGTACGCCGGATGACAATGCATACAAGACAATGGTGGCACCGGAGTCAGGCATGGTTGATGTCTCAACCCAGGTCCCCCAAGCAAAGCGATACGGAAACGAAATCACCTACACGTCGTTCGACGAACCGGATGAGGAGCCGAAGAGGATCGACTTTTTGTTTGTGAAAGATCCAAGCCCGGCTACTATCAAGAGATTTGGCGTGTTGTCGAACAAATTCGATGACGAGATTTATCTGTCTGACCACAGGCCTGTAGTCGCCGACGTTGAGATTCCTGTCTTACGGACGGCCAGCAAGATGTCTTGAACACTACCGCCTTGCAATCGTGGCTTGAATCGTCGATTTCTGTGCAACGCCACGCAAACCGGGCAACGTTGGGGTGGCAGATCTGGGCCTGCCCGAGTCTCCGAGACAAGCTCCCTGCGTCTCCAGCATTCTAAGGTCTCCGTGTCGAGTGATTCTGGCTGGCGGGCGAAGTACCTCGGCAGTTGCTCAGCATTCAGCGACAAGGTCCCGTGCCAACAGGGAACGGGAGGGTCGACTTGCGCTGCCAACGACAAGTGGTATTGCAACAATTCAAGCCTCCAAATTAAGTCAACGGGCGTTCGCAACCAGCATGATCAAGGCAGTTTATCCTCCCAAATCGTTCTGCGTACCGGATTGGCTTTGTTCATCCTATCTTTACGGTACGGCTTCTTTGCGGCAACTACGTTACGTTCAATCAATGTGGCGTGCTTGGAATGCTTTCGACAGTGGCGTTGAGAGATTATTCCTCAAGCGAAAAGGCGGTGTGGCTCCAAGATGGTGTCGAGTCCCTCGCTCCACAACCAACAACTGTCTGTCGATCCGTCCGTCTCGAACATGCCGACATGTCAGGCCATCGCTTCTTTGCAGCACCATCCGCTCTCGGCTCCATGCATTTCGAGAGTCCAAGAGCGGGATATCGGACAAATAGCAGGCCCGCCAACCTCGATGATGTGCGAAATTACTGAACAATGCAACCGTGGCGTGCATCAGATCTAGGGATCTTGATGGATACATACAGCTGAAGACGTTCGTTAGAACCTGCTTCCTCGGCCTCCGCATTTCTAAGCACAAGATTAATATTTCTTTCTCGGGCATAGAATTTGTCATCGCGATGTCTTTAATTGTGGTCGTTGACTGGTTCAGCAGCTTCGCACAGATTACAGACCGACTTCAGCATCAATGGCCCGAGACAGTTAACCGCGAAGGTGTTGAGTAGGAGGCGCAAACCTCCGCAAGATACCGAACCGAGGACCCCGGCGACCGGTTCTATGCCTTGGATGCGACGATGCTCCACACCTCAACGAGGAGAGGACCAACTCTAACTAGCTTCCTCAATAAGACGGAGCCACGAGAGGCTCCGGGAGGGACTCACTCGAGCCCGTTTCGGTATGTCCTCGCGCTAGATGGATTTTAAGCAGAGTAGGCGCTGGTGTACGGTGTTAATGCACGTGGGATGAGTGCATGTCATGCAGCCGGAATGCGCAGTTGGGTACAACGCGTGGAGAACGGACTCGGCGCCAACGAGGCAAATATCAATCGCACATGCTTCTCCATGTCTCCTTTTCTTTGGATGCTTCAGGCATGGATTACCATGCCGATTTCGAATCGCGACAGTCTACTTTACTCGAAAGGATGGAGGGGAGACCTCAGTACAGCACAATTGGAGTCCTTAGTCTGCATCAACAGGCTGACGCGGACGGCCTATCGGAGCCGATGGTGTGGTGTTCGACACCACGTTCGACTACAGATACGCAGCCAATAAGGCGAAAACAACTCTGACATGGCGACACGTCTTTCGGAGTTACCTTGAGAACAAACTTGAATGACTTGACCACAACTACATGATGTAGATCTCGGGGATGTGTACCCCGGTGATGCTGGTCCTGCAAACAGTGCCGTTCTTCCAGCGAGTTCGGTACCCGCTATTAAGGCACGGAGGGACAAGGGCACATTACCCCAAGATACGCAGCTCTATCAGACGCATGTTTGCCGACAGAGCAAGACGCGGGGAGACAGATCTAGACGTGCAACACTGCAGCAGTTCGGCATCGTGATGCCATCTCACATGGTCTCGTTCAATAAGTCAAGGAGACCAGTCCATGCATGGACAAGTAGGCAAGTAAAGCAGCCATTCAAATCCGAGAGGGAACGATGACTCTCATTGCCGTTCCGGCCCCGCCCTATGAGAAAAGCGAGCGGGCCCGGACTGCAGGAAATTGCATTCCTGACCGGGTGGGTCGGGCCCATGATTGGGCTTTCCGGCGCAAGTGCGTTGGCGATGCGATGCTGAACAGCGATGGAGGCGGTTCTGCATTGTGTGCAGACTCTGCTTGATTACGACTTGAAGGCGCCCGGTTGCCTAGGATGGCATCAAAAGGACAGGAATCGTCTCCTGATGTTTGGCTCGAGCCAGATCTGGGTCGTCAACCGTGGGGCGCGCACCCAGACTGCTGTCTCTGTCGATCACCAACCCTGAGTGACTTTTCCCTTTTTTTTTTTTCTTCTTCTTCTTGCACACACACCCCAGCCCTTTAACCGAAAACGAATACACGTTTTTGTGAACCAAGGATAATAAGGTAGGTAGCCCAGCGGTTTGTATTGGAAAATTCCAATTCAACTTCAGAACAGCATTATCCTCTCTTCCTCATGCCAAAAAAACACGGCCCTGAGTGACGCCAGTTGTAGTGAGCT